ACCCTGTGTCCCCCACCGATTCGAAGGTAGGTACTTGGTAACCCGATAACCCAGGATGAACAAATAACCAGTGCTTATAGAGAGATGAGTTCAGTATGAGCTTAGGCTAGTGAGAGATGCTAAAAACAACAAAAAAATGTTCTTTTCTTATGTTCAAAGTAAGAAAAAGAGCAAGGACATGGTAGGCTCATTGTGGGGACAGGAAAGTGAAATTGTAACAGGTGATGAAGAGTGGGCAGAACTGCTCAGTTCCTACTTTTCCTCACTGGAAATGGTGCTCAAAATGGCAAAAACAGAACACATGATGAGGGAAGGGAGCGGTAGCCCAGGATCAGCAGAGGGGTACTACATAAACACTTAGTTTCTTTAAATGAAACAAAGTCTTCTGGGCCAGATGAACTGCATCCAAGGGTACTAAAAGAACTCACGGATGTAATTTCTGAGCCTCTGTCCATTATTTTTGAGAATTCTTGGAGAACAGGTGAGGAGCCAGAAGACTGGAGGTGGGCAAATGTTGTCCCCGTCTCCAAGAAGGGGGGAAAGGAGGATCCAGGTAACTACTGACCCGTCAGATTGACATCTATACCTGGGAAAGTTTTAGAACAAATTATCAAACAGTCCTTGAGCATTTAGAAAGGATGGCTGTGATAACTAAGAGCCAGCATGGGTTTCTCAAACACAAGTCATGTCAGACTTAACCTTATCTCTTTTTTCGAGAAAGTTACTACCTTGCTGTATCAGGGGAATGCTGTAGACATAGTTTATCTTGATTTCAGTAAGGCTTTCAATAAGGTTCCACATAATATTCTTGTTGACAAATTGGTAAAATGTGGTTCGGATGCTATGACTGTTAGGTGGATCTGTAAGTGGTTGACAGATCACACCCAAAGAGTGCTTGTTAATGGTTCCTCATCCTCTTGGAGAGGAGTGACAAGAGGAGTACCTCAAGGATCTGTCCTAAGCAAGTTTCCTCTAAGCTACGCTAGGGGGCGCTGGCACACAACATTTCAGAGGCCAGCTCAAAGGATTTCCGCTTCAACTCACAACATTTTCCCCCTTCCATGGGAACAATGGAGGATGGGGGCACCTCCTTCTGGGGCCCATAGAATTGACCCCCTGGTCCAATCTCCTTGAAACTTGGGGAAGTTATGTTGCAAATATGGTGTCTCTACCTCAAAAAACAACCCCACCGAGCCCCAGATACCCCTGGATTGATTCTCTATTATAGCTTATAGTGCCCATTGACTCTAATGGTCCTCTAGGCTGTAACTGAGCCAGAAAAAAAACCATTTTTTGCACACCCCTATTATGCTTTTCAGTATGATTTGTAAGCTGCCTTGAGTCACAGGGAAAAGTGGGATATAAATATTTCAATAAATAAGTCGTTTGGGCAGGTTAAGAACATTTAAGTAACTTCCTGTTTGTTAGGTTAGGCAGTGTTCTGACAGTGATTGTTCCACCTCTGTTATACTTGACATGTAATGCTAGTTCTCATATTTCACTAAAAACCGAATAGACTGCAAGAATTTTTCTCCCCTAAGTGCTGGTATGTTTTCTAAGGGTCAGCACAAGGTCATGGTCCAAGGCCAGGTCTACCAATATAGTGGACTGGGGTGGGTAGGGGTAGACCTGTGCTCCAGAGGCCAGGTCTACCAATATAGTGGACTGGGGTGGGTAGACCTGTTCTCTGGTGGCCAGGTCTACCAATATAGTGGACTGGGGCGGGTAGACCTGTTCTCTGGAGGCCAGAATTATCAATATAGTGGACTGGGATGGGTAGACCTGTTCTCTGGAGGCCATGTATACCAATATAGTGGAAAGGGGTGGGCAGACTGGTTCTTTGGAGCCCAGATCTACCAATATAGCGACAACTTGGCAAGGGGCAGGTAGACCTGTTCTCCAGAGGCCTGGTCTACATTTTGTGTAAGGAAATTTGACTTGGCTCTGTTTTCTCTTATAATGTTCAAATTATTCTTACAATATAGTTTAAATATAGTTTAAAATAATTCATTGTGAGATTTTTACAAGGTTATGGAAATAATCTTCTAAAAAATTTATGCAATAGTCAAATGTAGACTTGCTCACAACTTTAATGCTACTAGCTTTTTTCCCTCATGAGGTAGAATTTTTGCTCACAACACTGTGGAGCTTAAAGGGAACATTGGTTCTGGGACCTGTTTTGTTAAATATCTTTATAAAGGATTTCGATTAAGGAATAGAGGCAATGCTTATTAAATTTGCAGATGACACTAAATCAGGAGTGATAGCAAATATGGTAGAAGACAGAGTCAGAATACAGGATGAGCTTGACAGGCTGGAAAACTGGGCTAAAACAAATAAAATGAATTTCCAACAGGGATAAATGTAAAGTTGTGCATTTAGGTAGGAAAAATCAAATGCATAATTAGAAGGTGGGGGAAACTTGGCAGTAGTATGTGCAAAAAGGATCTAGGGGTCTTCGTAGACCATATACTGAACATGTCAGCAGTGTGATCGGAAGCTAAAAAGGCAAATGCAATTTTGAGCTGTATCAACAGAAGTATAGTGTCCAGATCATGCAAAGTGATGGTATCACTTTAATCTGCTCTGGTTAGACCTCACCTAGAGGTCTAACCAGTGTTCAGTTTTGGGCACCACAATTTAAGATGGATATAGACAAGCTGGAACATGTCCAGAGGAGGGCAACGAAGATGGTGAGGGGTCTGGAGACCAAATCCTATGAGGAAAGGTTGAAGGAGCTGGGTATGTTTAGCCTGGAGAGGAGACAACTGAGATGTGATATGACAACCATCTTCAAGTACTTGAAGGGCTGTCGTATAGAGGATGGTATGGAGTTGTTTTCTGTTGCCCCAGAAGGTCAGACCAGATTCAAGGGGTTGAAATTAAATCAGAAGAATTTTCGGCTAAACATTAGGAAGAACTTCCTGACAGTTACAGCTGTTCCTCAGTGGAAAAGACTTCCTCAGGAGGTGGTAGGCTCTCCTTCTTTGGAGTTTTTCAGAGGCTAGATGGCCATCTGACAGCAATGTTGATTGTGTGAACTTAGGCAGCTCATGAGAGGGAGGGCAGGAAGGGTTGCCTCAGTGCTTACTTCTTGTGGCCCTTTCTTACATGCCCAGGGAAATGCTGATTGTCACTTTGGGGTCAGGAAGCAATTTTTATTCAGGCCAGTTTGACTGGAGATCTAGAGGGTTTTTTTGTCATCTCCTGGGCATGGAACATCAGTCATTGGCGGTGTGGGGAAAGGTATTTGTGAATTTCCTGCATTGTGCAGGGTGTTGGACTAGATGACCCTGAAGGTCCCTTCCAACTCTATGATTTTGGGATTCTATGATCAGTTTAACCCACTTCATCAGATACAAGTGGTGGGTATTTTTTATTTCTTTATTTTTGCTCTAACAGAAGAACACATCAACCTTTCTGGCCTTCTCCTGATATTTGGATTCCAGTGATCAAGCTGGCGCTGCATTCCTGTGATTTTAAATTCTCATCTGGTGTGTTGTTGGGGTCCATTGCTGATTTGAAACTTGCCTGCTTAGGCACCACTTGCTCAGCCTGTACCCTCACAAGTAAACAGATTGTCACAACAGCACCATCATTCCCTGGAAACAAGTCCCACTGAGAGTAGGGGCGTGTACAAGTGCATCGGACCAGGTGGCCAGTGTCTAGTTCTCCCTCCTAACCTACCTCTTGGGAGTAAACTGTTTACATGCCCAGGGGAGATTAGAAATTTCAGGGACCCAAGGCTGTCTGCGCTTGCGTAAAGAAGGATTTCCTTTTTGCATCCTGAATAATTTCTGATCAAATGCTACAAATAAGGGTTTCATAGAAGACCATACTTCCCCATTTACAGATTTAGCTTTAACGATAATGCAGTGTCAAAGGATTCACAGATTAATGGGATTTTCCAGGGGTTGCTACTGGATGGGGGGGGGACACGGGACATCCTGTTCATTTGATCTGCACCATGCCAAGAATTTAATGGCATGAAGCTGAAGTTGTTGCTCCAGACCAGCGCCTATTAAAGTTACGGTAGAAGGCTTCCCTCTGTTATTGCCTGCAGCTCTCAGCCTTCCCTTGAGATAAGCTACATGTTACATTTTTCAACAAGTGGAGTCCATTCCTCCCCTGCTTTCCTGCATCCATGCAGCAGCTGTGGGGATTGAGGGGAGGCTCCAGATGTGGCCAAGCCATGATACAGGAAGCACTTCTGGGGAATAGTAGGAAACCTGCAAGGAGATGGGTGACTATCAAATTTGTGATTCTCCTCATCCCATAAAAAGTGTATTTTACGGGATACAATTTTTTTTACAAGTGTGAACTGTTGATTCTTCTTATTTTGAAGGTCCATAGGGTGTCTTTAACTTGTTACTGTGGTGATTTCACACCTAATGCCCTGTTTGCGGCCACTACATGAGACCCAGATGCTGAACTTGATGGACCACCAGTCTGATCCAGTAGCAGGGTTCTTCGGATGTGTTGCAAGCTGTATTGAATGATGTAAGGAGTGGGGGGATATTTTTTTAAGAGGAGGATACAATTGGTGTTGACTTCTTATGGCTTCCTTTCCCCCTGCATACATTCGCAAAACACACATGTGCAGTCTTGGGAGATCCGTGTTTGGATCTGTACAGACTACGGTCTGTACCACATTCTTTGCAATACCTGTAGGAATCTGGACCATATTTATGAGAGGCTGTCGAGAAATGCTCTTTCACTATTCCCTTCCGCACGCCCCAAGGCATCTTATAGCAGGCTCATCACGGACCTTTAAAGATCTAAGGCGGCGCTTGGAAAAGCAGCAAGAGATCGCGCGCAGCTGCACCGGAGCGAGACGGAAGCCACGCCTCTTACCCAGGGGGTGGGGCTACTGGAGCCCCGCCCCGGAGCACCTGCCTGCCACGCCCCCTGGCCGGCTCTCTCCCTCCTTGCGCGCATGTGCTCCCTGGCTCGGTTCCTGCCGCTTACCGAGGTTCGTTCACTTCCCAGCTGATCGCGACGGTCCCCGTGCAAAAGGCGCTTCTCCGCGGAGAGGCGCGATGCCGGCGGTTGGCGCCTGGGGGCTCCGGGCGGTGCTCTGCTGTGCTCTGCTCTGCGTGCTCCGCGTGATCCCGAGCCAGGCAGGTGGGTGAGAGCGGGTTGGCTTTCTAGCGGGAGACTCTCCCCAAATCCCTCCGTTGCAAGATCGGGCGTCCGGGGGTCGTGCTCGAAGTTCTGGCTCCAGTTTTTCGACTTGGTTGTTGAGAATGTGCTTGGTTGGCTGGACGTTCTGGCGGGAGGCTTTCGGGGCAGTGCAGCAAAATGAAAGCGGGAGCCCGGGGGGGTGGCATAATTTCGGCCGGCCTCTAATGTGCTGCTGAAATAAAAAACAGGAGTCCCGTGGCACCTTGAAGACACACCAACTTTACTGTAGCGTAAGTCAGAGCTCGCCTCATCAGATGCATGAAGTGTTCATCTGTTCGTGAGATATATTTTTACTTTACTCGAAGCTTCGGACAACGGAAAGGGAGGGGGAAGCCGAGTTTATCGAGGGTGCTTTCCTCCTTCCCCTTCCCAGGAGAGTTTTTAATAATTATCCTGATTTCCCTTCCCAGGAGAGTTTTTAATAATTATCCTGATCGTGAATCCACTTTAAATTCTTTTATGTTCCTTTTTGGATTTGCCTGAATTGTGCTTGTTTTCCTGTAGGAGGGAGGGGAGCTGCCCCAGGTTTCCAGATTCCTCCCTGGAAGCCACTTCCTTGTTGAGGTGAATGTATGACTGTACTGACCAGGATCCAGGCTGGTTTCTGGGGTGTGTTTGTGTCACCTGATGCCAACACTGTTTGTATCTGAGGACAGACCACTGTAGATCCAGGTCGGATGGCTGGTGCCTGCTGCTGGAGCAGAATAATGGTGTGCCTTTCAATGGGGTCAGTTCACACATTCAGCTGCCCAGTATCAACGACCCATTCAGACAATGTGGTCCTGATCCAGTGTTCTGATGGTTACGGGTGGTGATGAATATGCCTTGAGATTTTGTGTGTCTGTCACTAGGTGAATGTCATTATAGGAACTGAATGTTTGCGGTTAGAACAGTGTATGCAAACTAGGAAATAAATGTATTTATTTATATTATTTGTTTATACCCCACTTTTTGCCTGAATAGGGTCCCAAAGTAGCTTACATTTCCCCCTTCACACACTCTACTCGAAAGGTTGTTGTGATGGGGGGCATCACAACAACCTTTCAAGTAGAGTGTGTGACTGGGTCACTCAGCAAGCTTCCATAGCAGACTTGGGGTTTGAGCCTGGGTCTCCCAAATACTAGTCCGACACTCTTAACCACTATACTGTATGTCTAGTACCCCTGTGGGGTGGAGGGAAGAATGTGGGTCTTAGGCAGTTTGTGCCTACATTGGTATGTGTGAATGGTTGGTTTCAGTGTTCCCTCTAAACTGAGTTAGTGTGGGCTAGCTCACAGTTTTTTAGTTTCTGGCTCACACATTTTTGTCTTAGCTCAGAAAGGATGGCTCCAGAGCAAACCAATTTATACAGTAGTCAAATCACTTGCTCACAATTTTAATGCTAGTAGCTCACAAAGCAGAATTTTTGCTCACAAGACTCCACAGCTTAGAGGGAGCACTGGTTTGCACATGAACTCACTGTTTGGTGGTGGATGAGCACATTCCCAAGGTGTAGGGCTGGAGTTTGTCACCATTCATTAGACCTTAACATTGAACAGAATGTCAGACTCTGTCCAGAGTGCAGAGGATCAAAGAGTTGTAAGTGCATGTCATCAGCCTAATGAAACTAGTGCACTGTTACTGCCAATGGCCTGCCTCACCGTTGGGGAAATTAGCAGGGGAGGCTAGAGAGGTATCAGGGACTGCACACCAGTTTATACAGTAGGAAGACTCCAGATCTGAAGAGTAAATTAACTAGTTTTTATTGAAGAATCTCCCTAATTACAAACACACTAAACATTCAAAAAAGAGCAAGCAATTTAGAACTAAGAAAACAGAGGTGATGATAGCAAATAGAAGGGTTAGTTATGGGGTTATGCTACCTGTCCTGATGTGCAGGAGTCCATGGTGATGAGATTATGGCCCAAACGTAGTTTGGGGGTGAACTGCCAGTTGGCATCTGGGGGAGACATACAATCTAAGGCCATGTGTTTTGGAGGATATAGACACAGGAAAACAATGCTGACCAATGGGAGACCCTGAAGGGTTTGCCCTAGGTGAAGACAAAAGAGTACCTGGACCAATGAGAGGTCCCGGGGGTGTGGTGCCAGGAGGGGCAGAACCTAATTGTGACCAATGAGGTCTCAGAGGGGCAGAGTCTGGGTCCACAATAGCAATGATGGGATTACCCAGGTGTTGGGTAGCTGTACTGGAGCTGGCTGAATGGGTTTGAGGACCCAGATGGTCCTGCCATGACAGATTGAATAAATTCCCAGGTTTAGACAAAAGGTGGGAGATGGGTCCCTGATTAGCATCAGGAAGGATCGCTAAACGTTTGAATGTATGATTGGTTTATCTCAGTACCTTAGGGAAGGAGCAGGAAGGACAGTAGTGGAGACAAAGGATTTTCACATAGACACAGGTTTCACACAAAAGGGCTGGGTGAAGCTCTGGAGACGGAAGGGCTATTTGCCAGGTGGCTTCTGAATGCAGACCAATGGGAGACCTTTGGACCAATGGGAGACCTTTGGAACTGCAGATACGTTACCTGGTGGAACTGCCATTGTTTCATATGCATGCCTTGCTGGGTGGGTGAAGACTGGAGGCTGGCTTCGAGGGCTGCCTTGTGCCATCTGAAAATGGAGACCCCTTCCCCAGAGCTTTGGCTTGCTCTGTGGTTTGGGCTGAGAATGCTTTCCTTGGCCTGACTTTGTGGGTTTCTGATTCAGGTTCGAAGTAGGGTACCCTGTTATTGGGGTTACCCAAGAGTAAGGCAGCGTCTCTGGGCTACAGCACACGTGCCCTTCTTTACATGCCCATGCTTCAAAGCTGGGATTGGCTGCTGTGTGTGTGATTATCCCACAATACAAGCTGAAAGGTTATAGCATTTATTTATTAAAACATTTATATCCCATCTTTTCTCGTGATTCTAGGTGGCCGAAAATAACCGTTAAAACCAAAGGTAAAATGCCCCGGCAAACAGGCAGGCTTTGCAGTGCCTTCTGAAGATCTCTGGGGAGGAGAGCCCCCCTCACCCCTTCAGGGATCCCAGTCCACAGAGCCGGAGCCACAATGGAAAAGGCCCGGGCTGTCATCCTAGGTGGTGGGATAGCCAATAGATGGATGCTTGATGACGGTAGTGGGTACACAGGGACATGTGAAAGGAGACAGTCCTTCAAATATGTGGGTCCCAGGTCATGACTGTCAGTCATAATGAGCCCTTTGAATTAAGCAACCAATGCAGCTGTTTCAAAATGAGCCAGGTATGTTCCCGGCAGCTAACCCCTGACAGTAGTCAGGCTGCTGCATTCTGAACAGACTGTAGTTTCTGGGTTGTTTTGAAGGGCAGCCCCACATTGAGTGTGTTGCAGTAATCTAACCATGAGGTTACAGAAGCACGGATCTGAGTGGCCAGGTCCGCTGAGATGCACTCCTGGCCACCATGCCAACCTACTTTTCAAACAGCAAGGCAGAGTCCATGTGCATCCCCCCCCCTTCAAGTTCTTAGCCTGATAAAGCCAGTGTCGCTCCATTGATTCAGTGGATTTAGTCCCTCTAGAACAGTGGTGGCGAACCTATGGCACGGGTGGCAGAGGCGGCACTCAGAGCCCTCTCTGCGGGCACGCGTGCCATCGCCCCAGCCAGGCCCAGACCACCATTAAAGTGTTGAATTCTCTGCCAAATAATTTTGAGTAAATGAAAGCATTTGGGATTGCTTAAGTTAATGTATGAGTTGTTTTTTCTAAAGTAAAACCTCAGTATTCAGGTTAAATTGCCGTGTTGGCACTTTGTGATAAATAAGTGGGTTTTGGGTCACAGTTTGGGCACTCGGTCTCTAAAAGGTTTGCCATCACTGCTCTAGAATATCAGCCTTCCCAACTAGCATTACCTCTGTCTTGTTTGGATTAAGCTTCAGTTTGTTCCACCTTAGCCACCTGACCACATCCTCAAAGCATTGGTCCAGAATCAAGACGGATGCATCTGAAGGCTTGGATAATGAAATGTAGAGCTGGGTGTCATCTGCATATTGGTGACACCCAATCCCAACGCTCCGGACAATCTCACTCAGCAGCCTTAATTTTTAAAATTATTTTGTGTGTGTATAGATATAGATGTATGGGTGAGAGAAGAGAGAGCTCTGTGGAACCCCACAAGATAAATTCCAACCTGTTGGTTCTGCATCTCTTTGTATGCAAATTACTTCCTAGCTTGCCAGTATGACACCCACCATTAACTTTTTTATCACTGAACAGTTTAGACTTTTCTGTTGTTATTGCTATGTGAATGCTATTGCCACTACCAGTTCACTCTGAGGTTCCCCCTGCCCCCATCAGCATTCCATCGAGGTACTTAAAAATTAGCACTTTGGAGGCTTTTTCCCCTTTAAAGGAACATTGTAATTTATTTGGGATCAATATCTGCACGAGTAGACGCATACAGTTGCTTTTCTCCTATGATGGGTGGATGAATTTAGGAATTCTACAGCAAGATCCATTGGGTTGTTTGAATAATCTAGTACGCGTTGACCTTTGGAACACAAGAAAATTTCAAATGGCGTAGTTGAAAGACACTCTGAAAGAACTTGAGCGGTAAAACAATCCCAGAGAGGACAGTCGGGAACAAATCCCAAGCGATATTAACAGAGGACCTGGTAAAAGAAACGGGATTTCACCTGGTACCTAAAACCTCAGCCTAAGTGCTGGGCAGATCATTGTGGGGGATTATTCCACATCTGAGGTGCCACCCCCGTGAAGGCCTTGCCCCAAGGTGGGGGAACGCAGGGCAGGACCTTAAACGCTGCTCTTGAGTGGCAGGCCGGTTGATGCAATGTTGTCACTGTGGTGGTGTAACCTGGTTGGTACAAAGGAGATCTGGGCTTGGCCTTGGGGTGTGTCCCCAGCTCTGTGCCCTGGAGTTGTTTGGAGATTTAAAAACGGTAAACGAATTCTTAAGTGTAACCG